CCAGAACGTTAAGTCCAACGTAGTCATGTATCTTGTAGATTTAATCTTTCTAATAATTTCCTCTATGACCGGCAAAGGGTAAACTGGGAATTTAGTAACACTATTCAGTTTTCTGTAATCGATAGCAAACCTCCAAGCCCTTTTATCCGAAGGAGGAAACTCGTTCTTTTCCCTACATAGTACGACTGGAATCGCGTATTCACTATTTATGGGCATTATTATTTGGTTCTTTAACATTTCCTGAATATGTTCTTCTACGATTTGCTTTTTCTGTTTATCATAGCGGTAACATTTAGTCCTACAGGGTTTGTCGGCAGTTAACTGTATATCATGCGTAACAATTTGACAATTACCAGGCCGTTCTGAAAACAAGTTCGAAATGTAGTCACCAATTGCTGGATGGCTTGGCTTTCATGGTCATTCAAATGGCTAAGGTCCACTTGCGGTTGTTCCACTGGCTCCACTACCCTCCGATCCATTTCTAGCATAATTGAATTTTCCTGAAAATTCAGTTTGGCCTTCGCGGTTTTTAAAAACTCCATTCCTAAAATAAGTGGACTTTGCAAATTTTTTACCACAAAAATTAATACTTTAAGGCTTTCATTTTTTACCTGTATTTGTAATGATAATTTCCCAATACATTGACAAGTTTGTCCTTGCGCTGCTATGATTTCTGTGTTTTATTTTTAAATAATCGTAACCTATTAAAATTCTTCTTAAAAAATGTATCACTCATAAAATTACCTTCTGCCCCTGTATCGATGAGGGCTTCTACTGGTACATCGCCAACCAGGACTTGTATAATCGGTAATTGTGAGTTCTTTACCACGACCGTATTTAGGTATCTTCTTGAGGGTTTTTTCGAAACTTCCGGGGTCTGGACCCTCGCTTTTACAGGCCCCTCTACTCGTTTAAAGCTTTCCTTTCAACTTCTGGGTACGCGGACGGTTGTTTTCAAATTTCCTTTTTGGGCCTTGACCTTCGAGCTTCGATGAGTTAGCTTGATAGTTCCTTCCTCCATAAGAGCGATTTGTGTTTCTGGTCTGTTAATTTGAGGATTGCCTTCGGAGACCTTGAGAATACGATGCCCCTCTAGCTTTTTCCACGATTCTGCGATTTTGGAACTTGACCGCCAACTCGAAGAGTTTCTGCAAGGTGCTTGTGTTTCGAATTTCGAAGTAATCTTGGACAGCAGGTAGCAATCTTGGTAAGATTATTTCAATTATCTCCGCGTCGTGTTTCTTCCCATACAGCATATCCGTCAGGTTAATTTTTCGCAGAATAAAGTCCGTCAACTCTTCTATATTTCGTTGATAAAAATATATAGCTCGGCTTCTAGCTTTGCTCGGTCTTTCACCATGGGGAAGGCCTTTAATAATGATCTTTTGAAATTTTCAAAGGTATATCTGTGGCCTCCGAATTCCTCTAATAAAAATTTGCAACATTTTGTCTTTCAGGCACAGGGTATAGCAGGAAATGATTTTCTAGGTATTCTAAAAATATCGCCACCGAATTTTTTCTTTCGAAATTGACGTTTGGCTTGATCGATGCTCTCTTCGTCTGGACCAGGTATTCAAATCCTTCTAATTGGTTCGCCATTTCTTGTTGTTGGACTTGTACAGGAGCTTCCATCCAGTTTTCGGCCATTTCAGTTCGAAAAGAGTTCGGGCGCCAATGCGGTGTTGCGTGGGTCTCTAAGGAAACTCTAAGGAAGGGTTTAACTCCCTTTTTATTCCACTTTAGAAGTTACAGATGCGTTCACTTGACGCTCACAAACTACGCCGACCCGGCGGTAAAATAAAAATAGAAAAGTACAACTAAAAATAAATAAAATAACGAAGTCACTACCTACGAGGCTCTATAAACGTGACTAACTAAACCGCGTTCTAAGATACAGCCGAGATTTCAGCAAACTTTCTGAATAAGAAGTTGAAAGATTCAACTAACTGCCGAAGTAGGCATACAGGCCGAAACGCGCGGTTCTTAAATTTCTGCCTAGCAACCTTCACGCTCGTGAATCAAGAAAGCACACCTACAAACTCGTTTCCCTTTTATTTAACTCAAAATTACTTCTGCTAAAAATTTGAATACTCTGCGCGTTCTACTAAAATTTACATACTCTGTTGGCAATTCCATTGGACAATTCTGGCATTGGTAATTCCAGGGGAAAGTAAAGGCTTGACACGAAAGATAGTTTAAAATAAATGTTAGTTAAATAAATATAAACCCTACAACTGTACAATTGATTTGAAAGGTTTTTCAAATTTTGACCATTTATTACATAGTATATCTTTTCCTAAAAGCCATTAAAACATTTTTTTTTTTAATTTAAACATTCACGAAGATCTGAAACAGTTAAATCATGCTCGACTTTAAATGACACAGTGACTGCTGGGCAATATTCCTTCTCAATACGCAAAAAGTATATAATCAGATGCTTTCATTATTGCCGATGTATTTGATAATTTATTGCTGTAAAGTTTATATTCAAAAATTCTGAAAAGGTGGCAATGTTGTCTGCAGCACACAATTTTTTTAAAATTAATTTCACACTCCTTTATTTCTCTTGTCTTGTCTTCTGGTGTCTTTCGCTTTTGTGGCAAAGGACAAGATAAATATTTAGGTTGACCTTAAAAAATTAGTCGGATATGCAATCTTTTGATAAAACTGATACTTTTCTTTGAAATGTTAATACTGTCTCATTAGATCGTGTTGCTTTAACGTTTCTTATGATGAAACGTTCATCAAAATGCAAAATTAACACATAAGCACATGATCACAAAGTCTTTCTTATTAATTTTACTAATGCATGTTTTACGCAGTAGTTCATCTTTGGGGAACTTAAAAGTTGTAATATGCTGTTTATTTGGCTAAGTAATTTGACTTGCATCCCGGAACGCTACATTTTCGTGGCATCTGTAATAATCCTATCACCTTAATTAAATAATAACTAAAGGAAGAGGAATTACAGTGAATTATTTAATGCTATGCAACTAATAAGCTGTAGACTATAATTATTAACACACCCCTTTCTAAGCTTAGTGAATGTACAAAATATATGTACAAACTCGAGCTCAATATTTTTTAACTTTCAAGAACTTTCATTATTGTCTAATTTAGAATTGTCTAAGTTAGAATTTGTCTAATTTAGAAGGAGAAATTATTCTAATAAAAATAACGAGATTCGTATTTGATACATAGTTTGAAAATAAAAAAATACAAGAACAATTTATTGGATTGTTATATTATTTAACATGAGCGTTATGGCATATGTAACAAATATGAACAGAACATGAATAAAAATGGGGGAGGAATCTCTTCATCATAAAAGTGTTTGTTTTGTATTGCAAACTAACTGTAAGAAATACAAGTCAAATAGAATTAATTCAAAGAAAACATTAAAGTGAACTAGTAAATAAACTTAACTTTCGATACATCTTTTTTTATATATATATATATATAAATTAAATTTACTATAAGGAATAGTTAATGCTACATAACTTCTAGCTTAATCATACGCTCTGTTTACGCTCATACCGTTTGCAGATGGCGTTTTAGTACGATTGCCCTCAGTCGTGACGTCACATAAGGAGAGAACCTCTTTGGATTCAGCCTTCACCCATCAAGATGGCCTTGCCTCTAGCCGAGTGGCGCGGAATTATACAACACCATGTTCAAACATTTCATTTGTGGGCAGTAGAAACATTTTTACGTTCTAATTAGTATCTTATATTTTAGTTTTTGATTTCAAATTTAAATTTTTTACTGTCTTTTCAAATGGCATGCGTTCCTTTATTTTCAATTCAGTTCAAAATGACTGTCAAAAGTATGCTAATGCCTTAGCATTTATTGGAACGCACATTATTTCCTCTGACATAAATCTTTTTTTTTTTTTTTTAATTTTGTACTTCCGCATGAGAGACTGTAAAATAGTTTAATTTAATGTGATATATAAAACTGTGATTTTTAAAGGAAATATTTTAATAGTTAATCGTTTTCACTTCCGTTTTGAAAAGTCTTAGTTTGTTTTACTCGTATTTCGTTTTTTTAGGTGACGATTCGGTACATAGTATCATACGAAATTAAATTGCGTTCTTTTAATATATATATATATAAAAATAAATTCTTTTGCCCTTTTGGCATTTCAAGCCTTAAATGTTCGCTGCTACTCTAGATGACTTTACATTCTTTATTGCACAATTGCTTTTAAAAAACTATTTTGAGAAATAGACGTAATCTATGTTAGTTATAGTCATTCGTTCATCTTTTTGTCCTAATGTATTTCTGTGAGTATCAGTTTAACTGCAAACTAAATTTTTCTTCGAAATAAGCAAGAGTTTGGCATTGAGCTCACATAAAAAGTGAAAAATCTGAATTTTCTAAATGCACTAGACCAGGGAAATTTATTCTTGCATTGTCACCTTATAAAGGAATGGATTTCTTCATCGACCTTCTTAGACTTTCTTACAACATAAGTAATACAAATAGTTACATATAAATAACTTAAAGATAGCAATTAGACTAAGAATATGAATCGATCCTATGAGCCATGTCGGCACATTCAAATTTTCAATGTTCTAGAAGAGAACATTAAAAGCCTTCTTTGAAATTTTACAAGCGGCTTGTATGTAACAATGTGCACTTTTCGCGTAATTATATATTTAACATAAAAATATTATTGATTTTAAATTATATAAAATAACTTTTGTATTTTAATCTTATATTTATTTTATCTTCTTCACTACACAGTATAACTTTATATTAATAAACACTGAATTATCAGTTTTACAGTATGAGTAATTTTTTGGACAATCAATAGGATCTTCATAATGCCGACCAGTTGCACGTTCATATCTGGCTGTCAACCGCCAGCTGACCCTCTCGCTTGAACACTGTTTTGCGCATTATAAGTCATTTTCTAAGGTGTCGGACTACATCTCAAAATAATTTGATAAGAACAGAAAAAAATTATCGATATTAACATTCAAGTAAATACCTACTTGAAACCCAAGGGACTGATGAGAGTTACGTAATCAGAGATCATCTCGAAAAGAAGTCCATTGACTGCTGTTGGTACGATGTGTGTCTCTCCTGCACTCACAACTACTGGGCCCTCATCGCCATTGGAGAGTAAATATTGCTCGGCACCAATATAGATTGCGACAGTTGTGGGACAAGACGAAACTGCATCACACACTTCCCCATTTTGGATATGAATAGCAAAAGTGTTTTGCTCACAATCTTTAGCGAAAAGGTAAGAACATCGCCCTTGGAAACTGTAGATGCCACCGTCGAATGTACGATAATGAGAAGCACTCCAAGTTGCGCAAACAGCACTTTTTGGGAGTTTTGAGTTTATTATCTGACCTAGAGATGAAAACAAAAAGGAGTCTTTATTTGCCTTACTAAACAAAAAATAATCCTGCAATTGATAAAAGGACATTACAGTTATCGAAGAAAGATATTATTTTGCATATTATTAAGATTTAAAATAAATTTATTTCAAATTTTAGAAATATTTGGATACATGATCTTTTCTTTCATAGAAGAATACAAAGAACAACAACTATAAAAACTAACGATTTTTCCTTCATTTAATTGCTGCACTCGGTGAGACGATTGCTTTTATAAGCTAATATTTCAAATCATTAATTTAAATTCTAATAACAATAAATTTCATTAACCTAGTAAGGTTAAATCTAATTTACTATCAAGCTGCTCTTATTCAGTCTTCGTGTGCTAACGAGAAATTCTCGTTTTCGCACAGAAGTCTAAAACTTCAGATATCAAGATATAAAATTTAACAAAATGAAAGATTTACTGATACTATGTTTTGTAGCTGCAACTTGTAAGGATCTTAAGTTTTACTAACGTTTATTTTATTTTAAATCTTTACTATCACTTCTTATTTTCTACTTCCGGCCAGAATTATAAGCGTGAAGGTTTTTATGCAAAGTTTGTCTGGCGAACGCCAAGTATTTAAGTGTGGCCTTTTTGCCAAGCGAAAGAGAGGAAGCAGTGAGTTCGAAGCAGGCCGCTTACCTTAGAAGTTACGCAGTTGCTATTTGCCTTCCAGGCCAGAGGTTTTAATCCTCTTGATAAATTAAACGTATTGTAGTGTTCACAGTCTCTGTGCTACATACGCTTCCTGTTAATTATAAGGCCAATCTTCCACGTGTATTATTCTAAAGTTAAATTAGAGTTTAGTTTTATTTTTATACCTTTTACGTTAGACCCCAAGTGGAGGGTCATTGTATTCCGAAGTACGGAAGTCATTGTATATAGAGAAAAATAAAGGGTTTTGTATACCCTTCGTCTGTATCCTGTCTACTTACTACAATTAGTGAACATAGCTTTAGTAAGCTCTCTGTTCCTAGTCAGGTCCTTGTATGTTCCCGAAGAAGGTTAGAAGGAACATTGAACCTGATAGTGGCGCCCAACGAAGAAGAATAACCATGGCCGAGTTTCAAGAAGAACCTCTGCTGCCTGCAGAAACGGCTCAGAATCCAGAAATGCCAGCTGCCGCCCTGGAAGGATTTGGGTACATCGTCCAGACCATGCGCGCTTCGATGAAACCAGAAGCAACATTTAATGGAAACTCACCGGTAACCAGTTTTTTGGAAAAATTGGATGACCACTTCATGCTCTACCCCGTGCACGAGTTTCAAAAAGTTACCTTAGCTACCAGCGCTTTGAGGGGCCAAGCGCTTAACTGGTTCAAATGTATCGGCAGAAGTCTCTTGGGTCAAGCAGGAAGTCCCACCTATACTTACGAAAATTTCAAGACTGCCCTACTAAAAGCCTTCCCTGTTGTAAGGGATCGTGCGAAATTAGAAACGGAACTTTTTAGTATATATCAACAAAGAATCGAAAACCTCTCGAGCTTTATTTTAAGAAAAATTCACGTTTTCAAGCTCTTGTATGGAAACCGTCCGGATCCTGAAATAATTCAAGTGATTTTGCCGAGGTTACTACCCCAAGTGCAAGACTTTATTGAATTAAGAAATCCGACTACACTGGAAAAAGTTATTTGAGCTAGCAATCCAGTTTGAAAGTAGAAGAACGGCGGACGTCGAAAGAAGACGCCAATATCAACAGCGAAACCAATTTGGTACGCCAAGACTACAGCAAACTCAAGCATACGGCTACGGAGAAAAAGCGAATCAGTGGGCAAGGAAACCCGAGCATTCAAAAACAGCCGGCGAACGTCGACAGTTCAATAGCAACCCAGGAAAAAAGTCTCAAGGCCAGGGGAAAAAGAAGGAAAGCACGGAAAGGAAAAATAATTTAAACTAAAACGGATTTCTGCTGACGAGAGGGTGCGGAAATCCGAAGGACACGAAAACCCCTCTTCCTACAAGATAAATACAGTAATGGTGAAAAATTTGACTCTTCCGAAGATTGAAGTCTTGGTAAATAATATCCCGGCCACCGCACTCCTGGATACCGGCGCGCAGTGTTCCTGTGTGGCAGAAGTCTTTTTTAGAAAGTATTTTCGCAGATACCGCATATATAATGCGGATAATACGACAGTATTAGCGGCGCAAGGAAAAGAATGTAAGTGCGTAGGTAAAGTACCTTTATATATCCGTATCAAGGACGAACAAGTAAAGGTGATGTTTTTTATAGTAAAGAATTTGCAAGCACATGTAATCCTAGGAATAGACTTTCTTTCAGACGCACAAGCTACACTGGATTTTAATGAAGCGTCCCTTAGGCTGACAATGAAACCAGTGCGTGTAGAAAAGGTTGAACCGCCAAGGTTAAATCTTGACCACCTGCCTAATGACGAGCAAGATAGAATCCGACAAGTGGTAAGTGAATTTGCTTCCTTATTTAGTGATATTCCAGGATTTACTCAGGTTACTAACCATAGTATTGACACCGGAGATGCATTGCCGGTTCGTCAAAAACCATACCGGTATGATAAGAATAAGGAAAAAATTATAGAATGGCATATTACCGATATGCTACGTAAAAAGATCATAACGCCCATCTCAAGTAGTTATGCTAGCCCGGTGGTTTTATGTAAGAAAAATAATGATTATCCTTTGGAGCATCCAAAAAGGTGGAGATTCGCTATTGATTACCGTAAATTAAATTCCATAACGAAATATCCGGTATATCCGTTACCGATCATAGAAGAAATTTTAAGGAACATAAAATCAACCAAATTTATGACGACTTTAGACTTAACGAATGGTTATTTTCAAATAGGGGTAGGCCTGAGGACGTGCCTAAGACTGCTTTTATAACCAAGTCTGGCACTTATGCATTTTTGCGTATGCCGTTTGGCCTTTCAGGGGGTCCCGGCAACATTTCAGCGATGCATGGACATTGTGTTAAGACCTGTTCTTGGAAAGTCCACATTTATCTATTTAGATGATATCATTATTACTAGTGATAATCTCGACCAACATGTACAGGATTTAAGACAGGTGTTTTCTTTATTAAATGAGGCCGGTCTAAAAGTTAATGTCGAAAAGTGCAAATTTGCAGCCCCTGAATTAAAATATTTAGGTTACAAAATATCGCAAAAAGGGATCGAGACAGATGAATCAAAAATAATCGCTGTACAAAAGTATCCGACTCCAAACACGGTAAAGAAGATGCTTCGGTACATCTAATCTTACCTAATAGAACTATGAATATGTACAGATGAATCTTGCATTGGAAAAAACAAAACCTGCTGCCGATCCAATTGGCATCTAATGAAATAATTTATAATTCTAACTTAAGTTGAAGCATTAAACTTAACTTGAATCAGATTGTCCTCACACCTAACAGCTAACAGTTATATAGACTAACGATTTATCATCTGGCACTGCTTAACGACTAGTGCATAAAAACTTAACAACTCGTCCACTTACAATTTAGCCGCTTGATAACATGCTAAAGACGAAATAAATAATGAAACCTGTACAGAAATAAATAATGAAACCTGTACAGAAATAAATAATGAAACCTGTACATTACCTGTAAAATAATGAAAACTGTACACTCCGTGTCAAAACTGGAAACTAGTTAACCTTCTAACACTTAAACCGAGCACACAAGACCTTGGTGAATTAGTAATCTCGGGGTAAAAAATAGAGTCTTCGTAATTTTTTTACTCTATATTATATGCAGTTATATATAATATATGCAATCTTTAAAATATATTCGAAGATAAGAACATTCACATTAACAATTTTATGTGCCAAAAATAATATGCCTATGGCGTTCAAATTCTGTAAGCAACTTTTCTAGCTGCCGTCAAGAGGCGTTTTGCTCAACGCCACTATAAATTTCAAATATTCCGTACCTGCAATTTCTACTCGGTATTTAGCTTCTACAACAAGACTGCAGTACTCCGGATTAGTAAAACTTAAATGTTACATACTTCTTATATTTGCATAGAAAATAGATTTGACTAGTTTAGCTCAAATAATTTAAAACTAGATTAGTTGAACCAGCGAATCAAAGCATCATCATTACCGATTTCTTGAGTTTTGAAATTAATATTAATAACAAAAGATTACAATATTTTCTATGCGTATTTTGAAGGCAATGACAGAAAAAGGCTGTGAAAGGAATCGACAATGTTTGAAATAAGAGATAAAAATTGTATAGATATAAAATTAAACTTACCAGTCGGCGATGTATAAAGAGCTGGCGATGCAGGCGGTTCAATAATATTAACTGTTGGGAGAAAAAAAATGGTTAGTTGAAACCATTCTATACCTCGTAGACATCCAGTAGTCTTAATTTATAATAGTTAAATTAGATGATCTTTTAAAATGCAGAAAAACTAGTAAGATTTTACGTATTTTTAATGGATGAACTTTGTGTATAAGTACAGTAGATGCCGCTTAATGTGATTGTGGTTAATGTGTCATTGGGAGGCTGTTATCGATTTGACAAAGTCTCGCCCGTTTGCATACGAAAACATGGAAAATGCATCGTCTATTATGATCAAACTATTATCGAATAAATTTTTTAAATAAATTTGAAGTCACCCAACAAAACGAAATTCGTCATATAAAGTCAAAATAGATTTTAAATATTACCAAGTGACATAGAAGTGTCTTCAAGTAAGAGGTTTAAATCCCCAAACTACTTGGTTTCGATTTCAGTCAATGATTTAAAATTAGGTAAAAAAGCAACCTTAGTTTTATGTAGATTTTTAATAACTCTATCAATTTTGAGGGTTTGGTTTAGTTCATGTGATTACGGAAAAGCATTGGAGGGCTATCTGCCTAAGGGAAAAGATGCCTTCATGGATGACTTTCTGAGGGGAAACAGCCTCCTATACATGTTTCACATGGGAAAAACGTCCAAGCAGCAAACCGTTCGCCAGGATTCGAACCCCGGGGCGAATTACCAGTGCTCACCGATTTTACCGCTCGGCCGCTAGTGGGTTTCCGATTATGAGGGCGATCAGGCATAATACTTTCTTCTTCAAGGGTAAAAACAAATTCTACAGCATTTCTTTCTTTCCATGAAAAAAAAAAATTCTTGAATCCATATATGACAAACTAAGGTTGCTTTTTTGATTCATTTAAAATTTTATATTGGCATGTTCTCTTGCAAAGAGGGATGCCCTCCGTGGTACATCATCGATCAAATAATTTCCGGAAACGTTATGAGCAATTCAAATGAACGTTGACATCAACGACATTATGAACAGTTCATAAACTTTTGCTTTTTTGAATAAAAATTCTGTGAAAACACATATTTGTATGTTTCTTAATATTTAGTCCAAAGGGGCAATTTGCCCAGAAGGACTATTAATTTCGTTTTGGCATTTTTGCATTGATTCACTAAATGTCAGTTCACTTTTCAAATTGTTGCCACCAAATAATATTGCTCTGTATTATATTTAAAGAAATTAAATAATGAAGAATCTGCATAAATGTATGTATATGTCTCTCATTGTGATAAAATAATGGTACCTAGAGCCAGCAAATTTTGAATTACGTAATCTTCCACCGAATATAGGCATCTGGAAGCCCTAATTTGGAATTGGAAATTTGTTTTATATTAAATTAATTAAATTTCTTTGCTATTTTTAAGGATATTTTTTCTATCGTTTGATGATATCAAAACTCGTTTAATGATATCAAAGTAGGCGTTGACAAAGGTGATCACATCTGCTGTAGATTCTAATTTTCATACTTTTGCCTTATATAAAAAAATTAAAGTCATAATTCGAAGAATAGTAGAAAGGAACACCTTTATCTTGTCACTGGATAAGAGGGAAAGGATAGGATCTTACATATTACAGTTAATCCCTGATCTTATGTTACCAGTATTTTACATTTTCCTGCATTTCACATTGCCATTGTGGTGACATAATAATGGCATTTTCTCGCTGAACTGCCATAAGGTTATAACTGCCATCTAATCATAAAGTTTTGCATTATTTGTGTCTTTAACTAATAAAATTTATTGATTACTTTTCTCATTCTATTTTCTTGCTTTTATATGTACCGCTTTGTTTTATGTATATTCTAACTTCCACTCGTAATTCAGCCAAAAATATTTCAGTAGCATCAAGGCTTAGAAAGCGAATGAAAATCTTAACCGGCTATACTTAATCTGTGTCTCTGGAGATATTATCTACAGTTTTGCGAAAAATGGGCACATAAGCAAATTAAAATTAGTTATATTAGTGCTTTGTTGTACCTTTTTCAAATGTTTAACATTGCAAAATTAGGATAAAACAATGTGATTCAGTTTGATTTTCCTAATGAATTTCAGTCGCCTAATTTTCTACGTAATTTAATTAGAGATTCGAATTTAATTAGAGACACTTAGTAACAAAATCAAATCTCTAACTCCGAAGACAAAACAAAAATTCAGATTTTATATTACGCCCAAAGGGGTGTTTTTTTAACGTTTTTGTGTGTTACCTTTATTTATTAACTATCACATTCTTCTCACTTAATACCCATAAAATTCAAATAAACAGCAATACTGCAAAATATTTAAAAACAGCATATTTTTATAATTTCCAATACACAGTCTCGCGCACTGGAGATATTTTTTTTTTTTTTTTCCGTAAAGTGTTGCCATTGCTCGCTTTGAAATCGTTGCATTCGTTAATCAGAAGTTCGTTAAAGTTTTACAAAACATGAAACAGATAATAAAAAAATTCAAAATTCGGGCTTCAAGGTGCCAATGTTCGGGGTGGAGGATTACGTTATTCAAAATTGGATGGCTCTAGGTACCGCAGTTTTTTCACAATGCGAGAAACATACATACATTCATGCAGATTATTCATTATTTTAATTTCTTTAAATATAATACCGGGCGATAATATTTGGTGGCAACAATTTGAAAAGTGATTCGCCGTTTATAGTTAAACGCGCACAAAATGGCGTTTTGAGACTAGTAGCCCTTCTAGGATATCGTCCCTTTGGGCTAAAAATTAGACCAGGAAATCTCCTAATCAAAAGTAAGAAATATTAATTAATTTCTTCTTATCTCCGGAATCAGAGAAATCATTCTCCTTATCTGAAAATTATGAAAAAAAAATTATTGCGATAGATAAGATTATAAATGTTGCGTTAATAAGGTTCGTCAGGATTCGATCTAAATAACGTTGGTTGTCAGAGGACTAATCGTCATCATATATTTTGTAAGGATTTATTTACTTTTATTAACCAGTTATTTATGTTAATTATCTGAATCCCTCTTGCTCGCTTTCCTGCCAGAATACTAATTTCTAGTTCGCGTGTATTCTAATGAGGTCGAAAAAGATAGTATGTAAAGGAAGGTTTCAGATTGTAGAATCAGCGTACATACCGCCAGCTGAGGATCGCGTTACAAGTTGATTTGAGAGTAGTTTATTTACGGAGCTGTGTATTCTCGCCATTAGGCTTATCACGATAGTAGGTCTAAACCAAATTGCGCAAATTCTCTCTGTATAGCCATTGGGCTAAAGTACAGTTTACTTAGTTAATTTCAATTCATTGTTTTTTCTATTTACGCTGTAAATGTTCGCTGGTTTTGGAAGCACAAGCCGTGCCTTCTGTTAAATTTATTTACGTTAATAAAAGGATCTTTTAAATCCTTTCCCGAATCTCTGTTGTAATGTCCCAAGAAACAGCAAGAAGTCGCTTAGTCTTCGTAAGTTCTTACTTAATTTATGTTACCAAAGAGGGTGAGACTCTATAATTTTAAAAATTATGTCTTTACAGACACATTGATCTTCATCCTAAAGTTAACTTAATCCAGACGAATCCAAAAGGCGTCCAATTAAATAAATTCATATTTTGCATTTTTTTACCTAAATTAAGTATATTTCTTAGAATAATTAGCTCTGAAAAGTGCAAATAAGTACGATAAAATTGAAACCCACTTTATGTTTTTTCCTCCTTCAGAGTAATTAATAACTGGTATACAGATACGCACAACTTACCACTCGAAAATATTAAGAGTTAGTTTATTGTCATTACCTCGTAGTTTGTAAAAGATAGCTTTCTTGAATATAAAATGCGTCTTATCAGATGCAATTTATTGTACTCTATATTATTTGAGTCATTAAAAGTTGACAGAAGCATTAAAAAGATTAATATTTTTTTTTTTTTCGAATCTGGTTTCATTTAATACTGCGTGTTTCTGAAAAATAACAAACAAAAAAAATTATTTTGTTAACACTTTTGCATGTGTTTGGAAAGTGTTTATCTATTCAGTAATACTACTAACATTACTTTAAAGTTTATTATGAAAATAATCACTCTAGAAACACCTAAATAGTTATAATTGTAGCAAGAGTTGAATAGCATGCATAATTAATGCAGAATGATTAGAATGTATTGAAATTCAATTGAACTGAAGGAATCTACATCAAACATTTTAAAAATCTATATTTATTGCCAACACACGTTCAGCCAGAGCTCTGCCAGACTTTTTCTTATATTCGATAGCATTTTAAGCTTAAAGTATAGATGTGAGTGTTTTATATTTGGTGATAGTGTATGGAAAATAGATACTATAAAATATGATGGTATACTGGTTACGAGATTTGCTTTTTAATGATCTATCGAACTAGTACATGGGATAGTTGACAAAAAAAGTTTGATGGATATTTCTAAAGAGAGGGGCATAAATAACGTAGTTGCACCAAACGTTTTGGCATAAGTTTCCTTTCAAGAATAATAATTCTATGCAACTTTCTCGATGGCACAAGTGGTGCACTTTCACGAGATCGATCTCAACTACTTTAATTACATGCGGGTGTAGGCACTTACATAAAATGCGGCAGATCAGTATTCGTATACATGAAAAAGAAGTAATAAAATAGAGCTGCATGTGCATTCAAAATCAATGTGTTTATTCCATTGCTTGCATAACTGAAAAAAATGACTCGAAAAGTTTTAGCATGGAAATGTTTATGTGAAAACCATTTTTAGCCAGCCAGCATTTCTCAATTTCTTTTTTCCTTCTTCGTATCCCTTAATGAGGCAGCCTATAATTATAGAGTAATCCTAACCTTCTCTTTAAGAACTTATGACCTCCTGATTCTCCTTCAGTATTCTCTCAATATATATTATTATGCTTTTATTTTAATCCATAAAATTAATAAACTGCAGTAAATAAAGTCAGAAAAATATAAGTTGTTCTTTTTCAGAGAATTTTAGTTTCAAGGCTCTTTAAAGGAATATTCATTTATAGGATATGAAACCCAGTTGTCCTCACTTCTTTTGAGCAAGTAACATTTGAACGGCTCTTTTAGGTCCTGCAAATATACTGGACCTTGGATGCCTCGTTCTTATGCTCTTTTTGAATTCGTTTGTAAACTGAAGCTAACTTTTCTGACAAGAATTTGTAAAGTGTTATATATGGACGTGTGTATGTATGTATGTACGTATATGTGTCTGTGTATACACACACAATACGTACGTACATATATACATGCATACATGAACACATCCATCCATACATGCATTTCTGAATTCTGATCTCGATAACAGAAAAGTACCGAATTTAGAAAACATTTACGACGGGAAAAAAACATAAAATCATTTGAAAATTCATAGTTATAGTACGGTTGTTTGCTGAATCGTAGCATTAGGCATACTGACGTTCATGGGCATTGTATCGAAAGTGGTAAACAAGTGTAGTGAGTGCCATCGGGACTCATGAATTCGAATTGTATTCCAAATAAAAGTCGTATACCAAACAAAAATTTTCCGTTCAAGCAGGGCGTATACGAAATTGGACGTGTTTCATAGCGAACGTATACTGAGATACCACTGTACTTCTATTTTAAAAAACTACTTATTTACAGTGAAACCTAGATAGCAAGCATATATTTAAACGCACCATATCTCAAAAGAGAACAATCCATTTGTCAAAATGTGAAATAAATTTCCTGATTGTTCCTCATTGACTAAAAGCTATAGCCTCACAATTTTACGTAATTTTCATACTGCTCGTGGCTACTCTTAGCTTAGATTCTGTAATTGCACTGATAATTAAGCTCATTAAAGTTAACGTAATCAAGCGCTTTCAGGAAGTTAAAGGATAAACAAACATTAAAGTATGGTATTTACTTGGAATGCATTTAGGAGCAAAGCTGGGCATCCATGTTCCATCTAGACTGCAATGATAAACGTCTGCAGGTTGAGATTCATACCGAGTATTCTGTGGACAGTTGAAGACGCAAAGCGTTTCCGCCATCGTATGGTTGCAAGACCAGTCGGCAGATGCATGCAGTCCTTCATTAGGCTGGCAAAGTGAGATAGCTAAAAGACATAAGAATCTCAATTAAATTCATAGACCTAACATGACGCCCATGGACATTAATTTTGTCAATGAGGCATGCTACTTTGTTAGGGATTGGCTTAATGCCCACACTGCTAAGAGGTACATGGCCACTGCTACCCCCAGTGAGATCAAAGAAATCACAAAGAAGCTTAAAGTCAAAAAGGCCCCTGGCATAGACGGTATTAATAATCACGCACTTAGAAATCTGCCCTGAAATGTTGTGACAAAATTCACGAGTATTGTCAATGCTATTTTCCCACAAAATGGAAAATCGCAAAAGTTATTTTATTGCCTAAGCCCGGCAAGGATAACACTTAGCCAGATGGGTACAGGCCCATTAGCTTGCTTCCGGGACTAGGAAAGGTCTTTGAGAGATTAATCTACAGCAGATTGAAAAACTATATTGAACCCTCCGCAACAATTTGGTTTCCGGAGAAAGCTTTCAAACACGAAGCAGCTGGTTCGGCTCGTCGAGTTTAGTGGGGATGCGCTTCACAAGAAACAAAATGTCGCCTTACTCATGCTAGACGTGGCGAAGGCATTCGACCGCGACTGGCACGAGGGGCTTGTTTATAAACTTATAAATCTCCCTATGGATAGAGAGCTGATTCAGCTAATTATGTCTTTCATCACTAATAGGAAATTCACTGTGGCTATTGGAAAGGACATCTCCAGTTTACGCACCATGAATGCAGGCGTCCCACAGGGGTCCATTTTACGGCCCGTCCTGTATTTATTTTATGTTCATGACTTCCCTAGGGCTCACATTGGCAGAAATTACTTTCTTGTGTGCTATGCGGACGATACGGCATTAGCCGTAAGGTCCGCAAACGCACACCATGCAATCAAGAAATTACAGGAGCTTCTACCAGTGGTAGAAAAGTGGTGTACGACTTAGAGAATTGCTATTAATGCCAGCAAGTCGCAATTATTATTGATAAGGAGGAAAAAAATACACAGTTGACTATTAATAGCAAGCTCTTCTTATTCTCTGAAGAGATTCCTAGAGTTAGTAAGGCGAAATATTTAGAAGTAATGCTAAATGAAAGATTAAAATGGGGAGATCATATAACAGAGGTCAGAAGAAAAATTTTCACTGTTTTGTAAATAGTCTCATCCCTATATTGGGTAATTATTCTAGCTTAGACCTCAGGAAAAAGAGGCTAGTTTATATCACGGCAATTAGGCCATTGATGACTTATGCGTCGCCGGCCTGGTGCACGGCTACCAAGGAGGATATAAAAAGACTTCAAATCATGCAAAACAAAGTCTTAAGGCTTATCACCCATGCTCACTTTTTGGGAGCAATGCTACACTGCACTGTGACTTAAAACTGGGACACTCTAGAAGAAGCACCTGAATAAGATCAAACAGGAAATTCTTCACGAAAGCTCTGAACTGTGACCATATGAGAAATTTTGATATCTTTACCTACGAAATATTGAATGAGGACGCCAAACTGCGCCCACTTGCGGCCCACCTTATCAGGGACCCGAACTTTCCCACCTAGTGCCCACCTGTAAATAATGTACCCAATGTGTTTATTAGCATTCTTAATTTTGTATATTACTCATTTATTGTACTGTGTATTTCTTAAATTCACTAGTTTTATTCACATTCTACACTCATTTTATGACTCCCACTTAGTCACGCCTTTACCTGGCCGGTTACTTGCTAGTGAGCTCTTGCGTTGCTGGTCTTCCTATTCTTTATCCATCTTTCTCCTCCTTACTGCGGACATTATGTGAAGATAGTTCTATGTTATTGTGCCCATCCGGCATAAATTTGATTGAGCCAGATAAACTACTGATCTCAGTGGTATTCTGGCTATACGTTATCAGTCAGTCAGTCATTAAATTCATTTTGCACTACAACATATCATTATGATGTAAAGCAAACTAGCTTCTATTTAACAAGACGAATATAAAGGAAAAAAGATTAGGAATTAAAATAAGTACTCAAAGTTTGGAAAAATAAATATTTTGGAAGTGACAAGCTTTAAAAATAACTATTTTTTGACACATGTCGCTTTACATTAATTTATGATAGTACCAGATAAAAAACTTTCATCTTTAAAAGTATCTATGGGGTCTGAATACAAAGTAGTTGGCTGATTAGCTGATTAATTAATTATGGAGGCTATTTTTTGAAGGCTATCTTCTTGAAAGAAAGCTGTGCTTCTCTGTTTAAAAAATTAATTGATTTGTATTTATATACGAAAAACACGAAAATCTCGCGGAAACAAGCTATGTATATTTTGGATATCAAGCCTGGGACGAACCGTCAGCTATTTGGCCACTAATTGTCTTAAATATAGAATACTGTATTTGAGTGTAATAAAGAAAGATTTTCTAACTTCTGCAACTTAATTGTAAATAATTTAGTGAAAGCTACATAAAACCTTTTAAAAAAATTTTACTTATTATATTTAATTATCATCGATTCCTTTTATAAATTTATACTCATACATTCTCCATGTGATTATCCATATTCATAGAATGATCATAGGTAATAAGAGTTAGTAACTGATACTTTCTGTTTATGCATACTACAATACTACGAAGGAATCAAATAAATATGCCATGAAAGAAAATGAAGGAATTAAATAAATATGCAATTAACTGAAAAATGCAAGGAATACAAAGCTGGTTATGGTATGCAAATAATTAGAATTTTAGAATTATAGTACATGCATGGGCTCAGCAACTCTCATTGAAATATCGGTGGAACTGTATGTATAGAATACCGTAGTAGAATGTTAAAATTAATATTTCGTTGTCTGCCAGAAGTAAACGTTTCATGAAAAGTCACTGTACTCTTTGGAAGACAAAGAGCCCAATTTTTAAACAAAACATGTCGTTTGGACGGAGGCGAATCCAATTTTGTCTGCAATAAAGAAGATTTTTCTGCCTTAGAATGACAACTCGAACGAGGCATAATGCCTTATCAATGATGCGCGTATGAAAGCATTGAACTCACGAGAAACGCACAGGACGCAAATCTGACAGTAGAAGATCAAATGTTACGTCAAAGTGAAATGAGACACTTCATTTGCATGATTGTGACGGATTACGACCCTTCATCTTTATAGTTGGCATAACGTTGGGAGTACTGTTACAAGTGTACTATTGTCAGTTTCAACAGCGTTTACTGCAGTGCTCATTAAGCGCATACATTCTTTTGAACAAGACTCCTCTGAAGCCAAAGTGTCGACGCTTGCGGTTCCGATGGATTCGTCAACACAGCTACTAGCGTGCCGATTGGCAAGACATATCCGTTTCAGAGGTATCTTACTTCAGTTTAAAGTAAAACACGTTAGAATAAGTCGAGTAAGCATTAGACGCTGGGGTTGAACCTCATCTTTAGAAATGCATTATTCAGCGTATGGGGATTTATTGAATTTACTTAACAGTCATTTTATATTGAAGCAGCCTTTCCTATCACTCTTGTTTTCAACCCACACTTTCCTGCCAGAATGTAAATCGACTAGCACGCGTGTATTCAGGTGAGATAGAAAAAAGATCAATAATGAAGGGAAGGTTTTGAAAGGTGAATTGAGAGCATGTCCTGCCTGCCTGAAGGCCACATTGTTATCCTTGATTATCTAGCGATTAGATTTCTGTGGCGTTGAGGCTATTCTTGCCATTAAGCTTGTTTACGCCGACGTTTTGAGTCAGAAACCTATGAAGCCGTTAAGCTAACATTACATTTAACTTATTAGACATTACATTTAATTAACTAATTAATTACATTTAATTTTAAGTTATTCAGTGAAGCCAAAAGTGTTGGCTTTTTTGTAAGCACGAGTTGCTGTCATCTGTGAGCTTGATTTTATATAATAACGTATTCTTTACACCTTCCTCCTGACATTGTCAAACTTACAGACATAGTCTAGACATAACATAAGCAATGACATAGTCTAGACATAGACAGAGGCTAGCCATAGACATGTCTGTGTTAAAGAATACACATTTACTAAACAGTCTTCTAACATCGAGCTCAGTTACGGTAGCCAAGCATATAAGGCTTGATAAGCGTCATATTGAATGTTAGACTACCTATCGTCCAGTATGACGGTCTAGGGTGCCACAAGGTATGATGCGAGATCTCGTCTGCCTTTAAGATTCGAAGGTATTCAATAAGCATTATGTCAAGGAGATTGTGGAGTCCGAACTCTTGCCCTTCATTCAACCCATTACTTTCTTGTTGAAATACACAGTTCAAAAGTGCTGAAATTCACATTCTTTTACTGTATTTCAACAAAACAATCTCCATGCACATGTTGCTAGAAATGTGCGTCCAGAAATCTCTTCTATCTGAGACTGCGCATTCACCAAACATGTCGCTAACTGAATATATCTGCGATTTCGTGAACAGTAACTCGCTCGTGACACTTGTCCGGCAGCCAGTGCAGATCAACGTAGGGCTCGGATCGAAGCAATATGACATGTTACTCCTCATACACATTCAAAACTTATTTGATTCAATAACACAACGAATACGAATTGTTATTGCAATTCATGATAGCTTCATTAAACACTACTTCAGCATTTAAAGTTTTTATATTGTTCTAGAAACTTAATCCTTTCTTTATACCACTGTTGGTCGCACGTGGAACAAATTTCACACAGCTTTCATGATTCCTTCCTATAGTTGCAATTTTCACAAATAATAATCTATATTGATATAAACACAGTGTTTGGTAGACTTTTATTTATGATTATCAAGCTCTTACTCTGATCCAGTTCGATAAATGTAACAGGTGTATATTACAAACGTAATCATTTTATACGGATTTAAAGCATTAATTATATCTTTCTGTGCTTTTATATTATCCTTCCAAGAATCGAGCATTCAAAAGTTCCCAAAACAGCTTTCTGAAATTTTCGAAAAGCGTCAAAATAACGCTACGTTACTAAATTTTGAATATTGTCTGCCTAGAGTAACTCAGCACTATTTTTTATCATTATATTTCTAT